CCAGCCGTAGTCTTGCTCCGTGCAATCTAGCGTTTAGTTAGCACGTGGTCCATTTCCAATTCCGACACCAACTAAGCACGTGTTATATCAAAAACGAAAGTTACATGTCCAAAAAAGAGAGAGTGAGAGAGAAGGGAAGCAAGACTTACCATCATTAACGTACATATGCATCGATATCTGATAGTACGACTTCGTATCATAGTTCATCTGTATCTCAGGCGCCCCGCCATCAATTTTCTTGCATCCGGAATCCATATCCGCCGTTGTACCCGAGGCGTCCACGTTCGTGCTGTCGCACTCATACGACACTGACCAGGTCTTTCCCTCTGGAATGGGTTGGATGTCGCGGCGCGTGAGATCGGACGCGTCGGGGTTCGGGCTGGGCGCCGCGAGGGCGGTGGTGGAGAGAACGGCGCCGAGGGTGGCGAGAGTGAGGAGTGGCGTGCTGAGCATAGCGGTTTGTCGTGGTGTGGTTTTGGGTGCTATGATGAGGGAAAATGATTGTATTGCAGGAAGCTGTGTGTGGGTCTGTGTGTGGTGGTTGTTTTCTACAGAGAGTGGTAGGAGGAGGTAAAGAGCACTCTATATACGACGAGGATCTCTTCCGCATATTGTTGTTGGTTGGGGGCGCAGCTAAGGCATCCCTACACTGGTTTCAACTTCGTGTATGCAATTTCGCCTTCACGAGAAGTCACAAGAGCTCAGTGGTGCGGCTGTGGCCCCCATGTTCTGAGTTTGCTCCTGGAGGATTTCGCCCCATTGTGCTCGCAAGATGACAGGTCCCTCTCCCATGGGGAGTAGTGAGGGAAGTCAGAGTTAAGGAGATGATGCAGAGTCTCCCTAAACATCTAGAAATATAAGATATGAGTTGAGTTGCTAGGTAGTTTGTGTATAGATAAACGAAGACGATTCTTTTCTTTCTTTGTTTAACTAAGTAAACGGCATGCCACTTGCCCGTGGTAATACCCTTATCTGGATTCTCTTACTTGCTGCGTATTGCGGATCTGTAATCTTTAATCTTAATCAAGCTTACTTTCCGGTAGAATGTTTTATTTATTATAAGAGATGGCTCTTTTATTAAACAATGCTAGCTATAATTTCGACACCATGATACTCCGCACCGATGTCGAAAAGTGGCAGTGATTATTATCACCATATAGTGTGTAACCATTATAGAGAGAAACCAGCTTATCCAGCAGCAAAATAACAACACCGGAAAGACAGTAGGGGGAATCCATCGGTCGTGCCTCCCGTCCGCCAGCTTGGTGCGCTGGGGTTTTCCGCAAGAAGGCCTCTCGAGGACGAACCGAACAGTTGCTGGAAATAATCTATGATCTCGTTCGGCACCCCCTCCATTTGAACCCAACCTTCGACCATTTCTTCTTGGCAGTCCCCTTTTTGGCTTCTTATTTAGCCTCTTCCATACTGCAACTCCTTAGTATCGAGTGCGGTCAGTCGAGGATATATGAAGAGCAACACTAATGAGACATGAGTTCAAGACTTCAGTTCAAGCTCCGAGACACTATACCTTAAATAAGGTCTTTTAACCTCCACGAAGGAAATCAGTATCCTTACAAGCATTTTCTTGCCTAGTTTCGCCGGAACCTAGAATATAACTACAACACTCCTAAGTACACATAATTCGCCAATAAATATTCACTCACACGTTTCCGGTCCTCACTGTCACTCAGTGTAGTAGAAACCATAAACTCCGTACCTATCATACGACCAGAACAGCAGAAAAGGGCTCGACATTGTCGAGAACATAATTATATCACACATATTGCCGCTGGACACTCAAGGGGTCAGCATAGGCATGTAGCTACCTTTGGGGAAACAAGACATCGCATAACAAGAATGCCAATGCGCATGTAGAACATGCGTAGGACACCCAAGCCTACCACCGACCAAGAGACTGGCGAGAACAGGAACACGATTTTCCTTGTTCATGGCGAGGATCCGTCTTTACCGTGCGGTTGTCTCTGGTCCCATGCGTTCCTTGAGCAATGGGCTGCTAGTGTTGGACTCTGGATCCGCTTGAAGAAGGGCAGAGGCACTGACACCTCGTACCATCACCAACCCGCAAACACAACTCTCACCAGCTAGCCATAGCGTTGCTCACTAACGTCTTTCAGCGATCCAAAGCATGCTTAATATAGTGCTTCAGCAGCGGTTCTACGCCGAAAAGGATCCCAAACTCACCTAGATCGGCCATTTCCAGGTCATCGCAGCCCAAAACCGAGCGTGCAGTCCCTATAGCCATCTATAAGCGCTTTTCAAGATCCTCCACAGCCATCCTGGTACATGTCTGCCCATAGAGCTCGAGAAGTTGGAAAACCGTAAGTAACTGTCGAGACTAGAATAGACAATCTCCAACTCACTTCATTAATTTGAGGATCACTCTTACTGTGTAAATACATCTTATCATTCAAGCATATTTCATTTGCACACACATGTTTATTTATACTAAGGTAAGCAGTTCCTGCTATCCACTGTACAGGCTTTCTTTGCCTTAACAGTTACGACACCCAATATCAATGGCATAGGCATTGATAATAATGCTTAAAACTTACTAAATATATCTAGAATGCCTGAGCATCAAAACGAGCAAAACTATCCACGAGCAAGGAGTAACCCAAACTAATCTTAACATATAGATGACCCAACCACGCCAGCCGAATAAAAAGGCTCACACAAACTAGACAAATTGGCCATAACGCTCCAAACCGCTCTTCGTTCAATACTTCTTGTTGAACTCCACTTTGCCCATTGCTCTCCCATCTTTATCGTTTTGGAATACAATCTCCAAATGATTGTCCACTTCGCGGATGTTGACAGGCTCCTTGAATAGCTCGACGGTCTCGATTCCGGCGCTGGTGTTGCGGAGCTTCTCCTTTGGTGGCTTGGAAAGCATGGCCAGGGACGTCATTTCGGAGATGGAGTCCCATGCGCTAGACTGGATGCCAGAGAAGGCGAGGATATAAATGATAAAGGTGGTGATGTAGATGCAGTAGGTGATGAGAATGGCGATGGCGAACTTCTTGGGGAAACCCTCCATGGTGTAGGCGAGTCCGTCAACAAAATATTCGTTTGCTATGCGGTACTTCCCTTCAGTTTCTGGTAGTTTGGCGTTAAATATGTTATGGGTTTTGCCGGTCAACCAAGAATCCGCCCAGCCGTCAGGCTGCGGGTGCCAGATTGGACAGTAGTCGGGGCCAGGCCAAGACTCTTCTTCTCTATGAATTACCGCGTCTCTGGTGATAGATTCAATACTATGACCTCCGTGTGATAAAGCAACAGTGATCATAGAGGCCAGGGGGATTCCTGGCGAATCATATTCGTCCCAAATTGCATCTAAAACAGAAACAGTCCCGTTATTCAGAGTTGGTAGGAGGAGCCCCGCCCATTCCTTGGTGAGCTTGACAGTGTTCGAGAAAGAGTCATCCGACAAATAGGTAACATCTCCTGTCATAGCGGAAGTTTCGCCCGAGGTGCTGTTTAAAATAATTGCGCTATTATGCCAACGTGCCATGATAGGACAAGCAAGTATTCCAGTCCGAGGTCTGAAAATAACGGCAGCAATTGACATATGGACGGAGCTCCCTGTTTCAATCCATACAATTTGCGAGGAAGAACTATTTGGAGATAAATTATCAAGGTCCGGTGAAGACAACGTACGGTTTCTGTGATAATCGTAATCGATGTCAGGGACATGGATAACATTTTCCACGGGCCAACTCGTGAAGACGCAGTACGCCCAAACGATAGGCTGTTTCGCTAGTGTGGTAGATTTGACGCCATAATTCTGTTCAAGGGTTTTACTAGGACGCTGTGTGCCATCGTTCCATAGATATTGGAGAACCTGAGTTAACCAGACCATACTCATTGGGGGAACTGTGAAACTAGGTCCGGCCATTATATCAGACGTATATGCCGCCCTTTGTTCCGGTATTACAGTATAATCGATGATTTTAGACAAGGCCAGATTTAGTCCACCTATAAGATATTTGAATCTCAATATACCAGTGCCGGGGTTTTTGTTCGACGAAAACTCCGATAGAAACTGCCATCCGGTATAAGGACACATATAATCTTCTGCAACTTCTATTGTGCGTTCATAACACTTGGAAGGAATATTTGCACTGGTCATCCGACTGGAGAATAACCACTCCGCATTCTCTGTATCGTTGAGCCAGATGTAAGTCATACCCGCAGGGTACATTTGTCTTCTTGGAATGAGAGCGATAGCAATAGATGGACCGACTCCAGCAGCAAGGAGGATGTTGAACGTAACTAATAATACGAACAATAATTTGCGAGGAACTCTGATGTGCTTGGAAGTAACAGATCCGAGGAACTCCAAGGACCAAAGGTAGCTGACACTCGTAATCTGTAAACCGGCAAAAAGCGCCCCGAAAGGAAGAGGGCCATCCCCGATTAACCCATGGCGGAGGTAGACCAGAAAAGCGTTGCTGATAGATGCCTGGGTAAGGAGTTCCAAGAACTTGGCTAGGAACTGTAGAGCGGTAGTTGCCACATCCGTTCCAACATAGAGTGTCACAAAGTTCAAGATGATAAGAGTCAACGCATTCGCCAACGGGATGACATGAACGGCCAACCCTAGTAGTGCAATAAACCGACTCTTGTGTATAGCGATCTTTGGTTTTTCCACTTTTCTCGTCCAGGAGCCGACAACTGGGAGAGCAAGTAACCGTACGTTACGAAGAAAGATGGTGAGCCCGGAGCGGGATCTTTCCAGGCTGCTCTTCCATGCAGTCTTTACTTTTGAAGTTCTACATGAAATGACGATATCAGTGAGGGTTCACTTTTCATCTCAATAAACACTTACCTTGGCGATGGGCTTTGCTCTCCGGGGAGAAGCTCTTGAAGTTGAATAGCATCCTGGGAATTATTGAACTTGGAGATCTGAGGCTCGACGGAGCCCGCGATTGACACTTCTGAGCTTCCGAAATTGTTGAGGTTGTGGACATTGAGATTGCTGGATGCAGAGCGGTCCATGGTTGTTGAGGTACCAGGCTGAAGGAGCATGACTGAAGCCTAGGGGAATCATGGGACTGATATATCATAGTTATGTCGCACTGAACACCCGTCCTGCATACTTACACAAGAGTTTGCTTTTTTAAAATGTGTTCTGCGCAACAAAAATTAATACACACATTGATTTATACAAAACTATTAATGCACAAGGACACTCAAAAGACAATGGGATCTACTATCCAAACGCCATCTCTAAAGGTCCTCAGTGGGAATCTTTCAGATGAACGACAAAAGAGAAGGCAACGAGGCAGATTGTTACACGAGGCACTGCGTGTATGTACCTGTGTCTCGTGAATGAGGTAACAGAGGCGTCTGTCGCCAACCGGAGGGGAATTATCAGAGTTGGGCAACAAAATCCCTAGTCGAACCCTATGAAAGGCTCTGATCTGCATGGA